TCTGAGTTAAGACGACTTTAATTCAATTATGTTCATCCAACAAACTGCACAGAGTGAAGGAAACGGGCTTCTTTCTCCACAATCAAAGGGTTTGGTTTTACAATTATTGGCGACATTAACAGTCTGTAGGCTGATTTAAACTTTGTTCCAACCAGTATTTTATTACTTGAGTTTTTCAGTGTAATGTACTTAATCATAATTGTGAACTCAAGTTTTAAAGTTGATCCATTTTAAATTTTTAAAGTTTTTTTTATAGTTAAAAAAAATAAAGTTGCTCCAATGTTAAATACACAGGAGAGAGACAATAGCAGTTATCTAACTAATTATATTAAGTTATCTCAACTTGAACCAACAAATGCAGAATGATGAGTTTAATTTATTCACAAGTTTAAGTCGATGCAACATTATTGTGTCACTAAACCCATAAAAATAAAGTTTGGAGCCTGAAAGGTTGATCTAAAGTTGTAAATTTGAATTTTGTCTTAAAATTGTACATTTAATTCAGAGGATCCTTGAATTTTCTATAAAGTTTTTAATTTGTATCTGTAACATACAGACAAAAAAAAACCAAAACACACACATGAATACACACAGAAAGACTTTCTGAGTTCAGATTATTAAATTATGTTCAACCAACAAACTACAACAAGTCTGAGAAACTTTTTACTTTTCAATCAAATTAAAGACTTAATTGGCAGCATGAACAGAAGTTTGTAGGTTGATTATTATTATTGAGTATTTCCATGTTTTATAAAAGGATTTTTATTACAAACTAAATTACTGTAAATATAAAACAAGTTCTAAGTGAATACTGACAGAGATTCAGTTGTTCTAACCTCCATGTTACATAAAAGGAATGTTTCATGTACTTAATTATCTCCATTATGAAGACGTGAAGTTTTAAATGTTAAATTCAACAAATGAAGTCGCTCCAGTCGTGAACTGAGAGCTCAAGGTGAAGAAACATTTTATTAAGTTCCCTCAACTTGAGTTTAGTTTTAAATCAGCTCCTGTAGAAATGTGAGTTCAAGTTACACCAGAAATCAGGCTGATGCAGCATCACTCTGTGAACACGTCATGATGAGGTTTCAACCTGAAAGTTTGGTCTCAGTCAGTAAACTGGGTTCATGTTTCCATTCTGCAGCCAACATTTGGTGAATCAGTGACTTTTTTACAGCGCAGCTTGGTTTCGTTTGTCAGCGCAACACTTCTGAGCCTCGTGTTCTCCTGTCAGAGGCTCCACATTGTAGCTGGAGCTTCAGCTGGAGGCAGCACTGATCCGGTTCTGAGCACGGTCCGAACCAGGATGCTGCGCGTCTGGACCAGGATGCTGCGCGTAAAACGAGCCGCGTCTCCACGAAGCCGCGCGTCGGACACGAACCGGAGCTTCTGAGCGACTTCAGCGCAGAAACATGAACGTGTCCTGGTCCGGTTCCTGCACAGCGGAGTCCGTCCTGGTCTCCGCCAGCTTCTCTCTCATCTTCCTGCTCGGCACCGTCGGAAACGGTCTAGTTCTGGCGGTTCTGATCCGCAGCGGCCAGATGAACACCAAAAGCACCAGCCTGTTCATCCTGAATCTGGGGGTGGCGGACCTGAGCTTCATCGTGCTCTGCGTCCCGTTCCAGGCCTCCATCTACACTCTGGACCGCTGGATGTTCGGAGCTGCGCTCTGCAGGCTGGTCCACTTCTTCATCTTCCTCACCATGTACGGCAGCATCTTCACCCTGACGGCGGTGTCCCTGGACAGGTGAGCCCGGCACACCTGGTAGCATAAGATGGATAGATAGATAGATAGATAGATGGATGGATGGATGGATGGATGGATGGATAGATAGACAGATAGATGGACAGATGGAGGGATAGATGGATAGATAGATAGATAGATAGATAGATAGATAGATAGATAGATAGATGGATGGATAGACGGATAGACGGATAGACAGATGGATAGATGGATGGATAGATGGATAGATAGATAGATAGATAGATGGATGGATGGATGGATGGATAGATGGATAGATAGATAGAGTAATTTACCATCTTTAAAATACATTTTCCAGCCTCTATGTTTGATATATTTTAAGCATTTTTTCTTCCTTTAATGAACATTGACACTAAAGCCAATGAAATTACTAAGTATTATACTTTATTAATATTATTATTATTGTTATGAATACATTCATTGATAAAGGTACATAATACACTGATAGATTCACTGCTTTAAAAGAATTGAAATGTTATTTTCCATATTAAGAAAAATGTTCTCGCCTTAATTTGACGTTAGATCATGTGTAGCTGTTTTAGGCTTTTCATATAATATATTCATAATATAACACGAGATCCTCAGTCAGCACCACAACCTGCATTCATTTCCTACATTTCAGTCATAAACATCAGCATCATGTCTGGTCTTGGGCTCTTGCAGGTATCTGGCCATCTGCTATCCTCTCCGCTCCAGAGAGCTGAGGACTCCAAAGAACGCCGTCGCCTCCATCTGCCTGGTTTGGGCCTTGGCCTTGGTGTTTTCTGCTCCGTATCTCAGCTACTTTGCTCAGATGGACCTGGCCGGTACCGTGGTCTGTGTTCCTGTCTGGGAGTCCAAACCTCGCCTCATCATGGATGTGTGCACCTTCATCTTCGGCTACCTCGTCCCCGTCCTGGTGCTCAGCCTCACCTACGCCCGGACCATCCGCTACCTGTGGACCAGCGTGGACCCGGTGAAGGACATGTCCGAGTCGAGGCGGGCCAAGAGGAAGGTCACCAAGATGATCATCATCGTGGCGGCTCTGTTCTGCCTCTGCTGGCTGCCACATCACCTGGTCATCCTCTGCATGTGGTTCGGACGCTTCCCCCTCAACCACACCACCTACGTCCTGCGCATCCTCTCCCACCTGGTGGCCTACGCCAACTCCTGCCTCAATCCCATCGTCTACGCTCTTGTCTCCAAGCACTTCCGCAAAGGCTTCAGGAAGGTGTTCAGCTGCTCGCTGAAGAGGAGGGAGGTCAACAAGGTGCACGTGGTTCAGGCGGTGAACACGGTCAGCAGCGTTGAGACGACCAACTAGAGCCCCGAGCCGGCTGAACGTCATGAAGCTGTTCATGTTCGCAGAACAGTTTTCATTTCATTCAAAAAAATGTTGAGCATCACGAGACCAGAGAAGGTCTGCAGGGTGTGCTGGATATGTTGGTACCAGAGATCACCACCAATGATCAGTTCAGCACCTTCTGCAGCTGTGGAAGAAACTCATGATGGTCGGAAGAGTCCTGAGACTGCAGAACATTCTGGTTCTCGTCTTCACAGTGGTCTCCTGGAAGTCTCACCTGATTCAGACCAGATCATTCCTAGACTCTAACCATCATAACGTTGGCGACCTCTTGTGGTTGTATGAATTAGTGCCTGTAAAACCTCTGGTGGAGTCGCAACCCTGGAAATGGACAAACTGTTCATGTGGTAACTGTAGTGAGTGACGGGTTGTGTTTTAACCCAAACCACTAAACCTAACCAAGAAGTTTTAGTTCCCAAACTTAACCAAGTCCTTTCATATTCTAAGATTAAGCAAGAAGTTTTCGAAGCCAAATACTTTTGATGTTGAAACTTTCCAAAGAAGATTTGGCGTCTAAACCAAACTAAGATGTTTTGGTGTTAAACTCAACCAGGTAGTTTCGATGCCTCAATTTAACTGAGAAGCTTTGTTGCCTGAACTTAATAAGGTAAGTTTGGTAAGTACATTAACGAACCCGTTTCAGTGTCTAAACTTCACCAAATACTTTCAGTGTCTGAGGTTAAGCAAGAAGTTTTGTTACCTAAAGTTGTGGTGTAGAAACTTATCCAAGAAGATTTGGTGTCTAAACCTAATCAACTAGTTTCAGTTCTTAAATTGAATCAGATGGCTTCGTTGTTACAAATTAGCCAATTAGTTTCAATTTCCTGAACTGAACCAGGAAGTTTTGTTGCCTGAACTTACTGCGGTAGGTTTGGTGAGAACGTTAACGAAGCTGTTTTAGTGGCTAAACTTAACCAATATGTCACGACTGCAGTCAGATGAAACTGTTCTCTCCAGTTGTTGTAGCTGGTGAAGCATAAGCTTGTATTTGAGCTTGTTACTTTTGATTAAGTCATCCTGGTTTATTTATTTAGCTTGACTGATCCTTTTGGTTGTTATTTTTGGCCCGTTTGCACCCTGAAGTTAAAGCTCAGCTCCTCATTCTTGTAAATATTGTAAATGGTGTAAATAAAGTCAAGTGTCCAAGAAGATGGCTGCCGTTCATGTAACGTCTCAGCTAGACGGGAATAACAAAGTAGTTTCAACCGTCACCAGATACCAACTGAAACAAACAGCCAGTTGATTTCACAGTTCTGTTGTTTCTTTAAGACTTTCGAACTCCAGAAACAGTCAAAGGAAGCAACCTGAACTCAATCCTTCTTTTGCATGTATGTATTGTTATTTTATCTTTTTGTGTAATTTTAAAAGTTTGCTTGAAATTAGCTTCAGAGTTACGTGGAAACACTTCTGCTAACAGTATCTGTGCCACTAAAACGTTGTGGATCAACTCTGCGCTCCTCATCTGATGAGTTTACAGACGAAAGCAAACATGTTGCTCAAGAAACTGACTTCAGGATGAAATATCTCCGCACAAGTTCGATGGACTCTTCTTGTAATTTGGTTCTTTCATGATCCTCAGAGGAACAAAACAACTGACTGAACTTTTCTGATGGAACATAAACTGTCTGCTGTCTTGCTGCTGAACGTACTTTTGAATATAAAAAACAAACTCAGAGTAAAGACTCGACTGATTTGCATCTAACTGAGTTGTTTTGTGGACGCTGCACTCGTAGTTGGTTCTTAGACGTCAGGCCTCAGATTTATAGATGAATAGAAACATCAGACCAGACTGAAGGAGACACAAAAACCCTGTGAACAAAGTTTGTGTTTTTAGGGTCTTTGAGGTCATTTTGTGTCTCTTTGCTGTTGTTTTGTCGGTTCATTGTCGCCTCTTTTCGTGAGTCTGTTTCTGTGTCCCTGCAGTCGTTGAACATCGATGGTTGTTCATTTTGAATCTCATTGGTTTGGTTCTCTGTGTGTTTGTGCTGAAAGAAAAAAACACAACAAAATGTCAGAGCTGCAAACTAGAAAAACAACAACTCAGAGTCTGAAATAATGTGTTCATGTCACCAGACGGACGTTTTAAGAGGAAGAGTCCAGGTTTGATGAGTTTGACCTCAGCAGGGTCTCTGGTCATCGTCTGGAGGTGTTTGGACTGAAAACAAAATGTCAGAACCACATGTAGGCGGACGGATTTCAGCGTCAGTAGAAACGTGTTTCATCTGCTGCTGGATGAGATCTATGTGCATGAAAACAGTGTTATTGTTGTGAACGTCGTTAATAAGCATTAATGAACTAATAAACACATCAAGCTGCATCTGAACATGTGGTTTTATTTGAACATTCCTTCGTCAGTCAGATCCTTTACTGGATGCTTTCTGCTCTATTACATGATCTTCTGAAGAGGAAGGTTTCACATGATGGATTCTAGAAAAAGGTTTGAAAATATAATGTAAAAAATGATTTATGTCTTTTTAAAACTGTCTTTCTTTTAAATGTTTTACTTTTATTTTCCTGGGTTTTTTTCCATATAACTAATAAAATCACAGAACAAAATTAGACAATTGTTTAAAAAAAAAAAAGACCAAAACTGTAAATAATGTCGACTTCAAAAAAATCTGTATTTTTAATTATACTGATTCATTTCTTTTACAACATTTGACCGTAAAATTACTTTTTATTTAAAAGAAAAACTGTGTAAAAATAAGGATTGAAGATGTATTTTTAGGAGCAGGTATCTGGTAAAACCACAGGAGCAGGAAAAAAATGTTAATTACATGTTTTCAGCAAAAAATTAATAAATAAAATAATGTCCACAAAATTCTTACAAAAGTTTTCCACCTGATAATTTGCTCTTTTACAGTGTGTGACCATAAAACGACATCGTAATATATAATACAATATACTGTATTTAAATCAGCAGACATATCTTTATGTTAGATATATTTGGTGTTTTTAAAGCTGAAATATTCCACCGTCTTTTAAGAATACATTATTTTCACGGTCTCGCATTGAACAAAGAACAAATTAGTCTGTAAATAAAGTTCACATCTAAAATCTGTATTTTTACACTTTGTGCCTGTTTTCTTACGGTTAACATGCAAATTAATACTTTTTTGTTTCTGTGGTTTTACTGGATCTTATCTGTAATTTAACAAAAGTGGGAAAATCTGTAAACTATCAGTAAATTGCTCATAAAAGTGTTCATACATTTCAAACCTTTAATCATTCTGTGTGGTGGAGCGTTGGTGGAAAACTGATAACTCAGAGTTGGACAACATGAGCAGAAATCCAGTTTTGTGTGTTTGTAGTCTTCAGCGTCTGAGTGACTAAGTCTGATTAAGATGTGGCTGCCTGTCATCAGACTGATTCATGTCACGCTGATCTGTGCAGGACGTGGAGCTGCACTTCGCTTTGCTCTTTCTAGCAACGAACTCTGGAGCTCGTCTTGACCCTGAAGTGTTTCATAAAAAACAGCAGAGAGTCCAGGTCAAGGATCCGCCATCAGCACTTCTATCACCACGGAAACCAGACATGGACGTGTTGCCGTGGTGATGAGAAGTGGCATCTTTACCGCTGTACCTTCAGGGTTCAGACACGGAGCTCAGTTAGAAGCTTTAAAGCCTCAGTTTCCTGAATTTAGGTTTCTTGATGTTTTACTCTGCTGCTGATGAAAACTCATCAAATTGTGGAGTTCTGTTTCCATTTTCTTCTAAACAGGCGATTATTTATCCTCTATGTCTCTGTTTTAGGTGTAAATAATATATTGAATTTTCAGATCTACAAATAAATTTCCCATTTTTGCCTCAGAAGATGTCTTTTAGCTCAGCAGGCTTGAAGAGAAACAGCTGATGAATCATTAATAGAAGCACTTCACTGAATACCTTCTGATGTTCTGTTTGGACAGTCGTGAACAAACATTTACCTCCACCTGTAAAGAACGTGTATATCAGGCAGTCTGGAGGTTCTTATGACTCCTACAGCTCTGAATTTTCTCTCATGGAATCCTTGAAACACATGAATCCTGCATTTTGGTTCTTTCATAGATAAATTAAAGGTCTTCTGGAAATACAAAGTATTCATGCAGCACGTCTGACATTTGCTTAAACATCCTTTCAGCTCAGTCCAGTTCTTTTTGTTTCCGTCCACCAGCTTCTGGTTTATCATTGACCACAGAATCGGTGCTGTTCAACTAAACTTGTCGTCTTTCTGACTTGTTCCTTCATCAGTCCACAGGTTCTGGATGGTTTCAGTCAGGACTTTGGGGAGACCAGTCTAGAACCTTTATTCCAGCCTGATGGAACCATTTCTTCACTACTTTGATGTGTGTTTGGGCTCATTGTCTGGTTGGAACATCCACCTGTGTCCAAGATCAACCTTCTGCTGATGGTTTTTGGTTTTCCTGATGAATCTGGAGGTGATCCTCTATCATCATTATTCCATTGACTTTGTGTAAAGCTCCAGTTCCACTGGTAGCAGAACAGAAGCAGAGCATGATGCTGCCACCTCCATGCTTGATGGTGGGTTTGGTGTTCTTGGGGTTGAAGGTCTCACCTTCTCTCCTCCAGACATGTTTCTGCTCATTGTGGCCAAATAGCTCATTTTTTGTTCCATCTGACCACAGAACTTTCCGCCTTTTCTTTGTGATCAGCAGCAAACTTCAGAGGAGCTTTAAGGCATTTTCACGCGTTTTCTGCAGGTCTTCTGGAAAAATGACCAAAGCTGCTGGATTAGAACATACATACGGACTGTCAGACAGGTGACGGTTAGAGAGGAGAGTGTTGGAGTCAGACGATGAACTTTGACTTGATGTGGTTGTCTTTGTGTCTCCAGTGGTTAGCTAGCACTAATGCTAAAAACAAGCCGGGACATCTGAGCAGTGAATGCGCTCACAGCAGTGACCTTGACAGGGAAGCTTAGAATTTAACATTCCAGCAGCTAAGACTTGAAATCTTTCAGCAAAACAACCAGAATGTGGAGCTGCAGCGTAAAATGGGTTTGAAACTGGATGTTCTGGACTGAGACTGTGTTACATGTGCTTTGTGTTTGCTTTCATGTTGGCTTTAATGGAACGCTTTACGGTTGTATGATGACGCCTCTTTGTGTGTTTTATGCAGTGATACGAGCATGTCCTTCAGTTTGAGGCTTGACCCACATTTCTCTGTTGTTTACATCCAACAACACTGAGCGTTACACAGAGTGCAGAACGAGCTGTTTGCTGTGATGAAGTGTTTGATCGTAACTGAAGTCCATCTTGTCAGAGGTTGAACTGCTTCGTACACATCTGGACACAAAGACATCTGCTTTACTCAGCTGCTAGGAAAACATCTGAAACTTTCTCTGGAGAACTGAAGCTGTGATTCAAGAATAGATTTTCTCTGTAGATGTTCACACATGCAGCCTTATTAGACCAAATGAGTTGTAAATCCACATAAAAAGCTCATATTGGCAGCTTGTTAAATCATCTGAGCCTGGTTATTTTCTCCTGAAATGATCAGAACAGACTCGAAGCTGCGCGTATTAACATAATTTCTAAAAATAGAAGTCCAGCTTTGGGAATAATGACGAGACCAACTGTTGTTTTCAGGCTTCAACATTGATCGTTTAGTCATTAAAATAACGACAGCATCGTAGAGAAGTCGGATAATAATCCAGTACATGCACTGAATTACATGAAAGCTCATTATGTATCAGACAAACTAAATTATCGCTCAACAAAGACGACAAGAAGAACGTTTGAAGATGGAATCAAAAAAACCAGCATCATTAAGAAAAAACACCAAGAACTGCAAAGGAAGAAGCAGTAAACAGTGATCTGATAGTTATTTCCAAAGCTGTACGTCACAAGAACCATTGAGGAATAAGCTCAGACCAGTTAGCTGCTGTTTTTAGATGATCTGCATGTTGGCGGTTGAGCTGCTGTTTGTGAAGTTTACCCTCGACTTTATGGACAAAACACCGCAACTTCTTTGGCATCAGTTAGAAACGTTAAATAGGTTAGATCTGGCAGTCAGTGTGAGGATGGACCAGTTTAAAGTCGTGTTTTATCACATTAATCCTGAAGACTGTTGATGCTGAACTTTTTTTTCCTGCTGATTGTCTGAACGGTACAAACATGGCGTCACACGAACAACATGAGGCTCCACGTTTCTCCACATTCTGCACATTCGTTGTTCGCGACCTCATTTTTTTTTCAAGTCTTCTTTCAAACGTCCAACTGACAAGAACTTCTGGACGTTAGTTTGCAAAAACTGCATCTCGTCGTCTTAGCACTTGTGCAAAGACAATTAAGTTAAGTCTAATCGAGCGCCTCATTTGCATAAAGTTATGGCCTCGGCTACTTCATAAAAAACCAGAAACATGAACAGGCACCTCGAAAAACATTTAAACTAAATTCTTCAGTCGATGTCTCGCCTCAAAAGCTTCCAGAAACACATTTTGTTGAACTGTCGTCGTGTTGTTCTGGTTCGACGTCAGGAGCAGCCGATGTGTTGACTCCTTGTGGCTTGTTGATGCGTATTTATACGGACGGTAAACCTGCTGGTTTACGTTGAGATGTTGATTCTGTGTTTGTTATAATAATTGTTGAAATGAATCCTGTAGTGACCGCTGGTGGCCACAAGGGGCGCCGCCACAGTCACGTGTTGCTGCCTCAACATCCAGCTGCTCTCTTATGAAAATGTCGTCTCTCCAGCTCACAAACACGATGGACTAATCTCTGAAGAGCGTTCGAGTGTTTGCGCTGCAGAAGAGGTTCATTAAGATGCTGAAGACTCGTCGTCGGAGCAGCAGCTTCATGTGACCGCTGCTCGCTCGTCTCATGTGCTGAAAAGATTTGACCGACTGGATGAAAAGTGACAAACACACCTGATGTTCCCGTCAGTGGACGTGATAAAGAAGCAAACCAGCGGCTACTTTCTCTCAGATTCCCTTTATTCGAAGCCGGAGCGGCTCCATTACATAAATACATGGCGTTCACTGCTCTGTACAAAACATTCTTCAGACACGTTCAGGAGGTTTCAGCTGAAGGAGGCGGTTTTTCTTCTGGGTGGATGTTTGTCTGATGAAGGTGCAGCTCAGGCGGACGTGTCGAACAGCTTCTCGATCATCTCCTCCACCTCCTCCGGTCGGTACTTGTGGTACTTCTCCGGGTTCTTGGTGAAGGAAATGTTGGCGCATCTGGGAAAAGAAAACACGTTTTGCAGCTTTAGTCACGCGTCATGTCCGTTTCTTGAGTCCTACATGGTGTCAGTTTTTTCCTCTTTGCATAGATTCATGATTCAAAAGCAGTTTTCTGAACTAAAACTCCTGCAGTCGCTCCGGCTGGATGTGAAACTTCAGAACAGCTCCACTAGTCCGACTCTTTTCAGTTAGTTGTGTTGCTGCATCGTCTCTGTTTAACATTTTGGCTAAACTCTGAGACTTTCATGTTTTCAAACCTGGAATTTTACTATTTTAAGGGTTCGATACTCAGTGAGGACACAGATTTATTTCTAGAAAATCTAAATGAATGAATTTATCCGATCTGGGATATTTTCTACTTTTAAGCCTCAAAGAAACGCCTCTTAAAGGTTCAATGTTAAAACCAGAAACTTTGAAACTGAACAGAAACTGTATTTTTAGTAGAAATATGGAAACATCCACATATCGACACTTAGCGGGTTTTGTATTGACAACTTTTTTTCCCATTTTAAAGGACCAGTAATGAAAAATGTGTCATCGATTGGAGCCATTTGATGATTTGGATCTGCTGAAAACCATTCTGTCTTCACCAAACTTGATGCTGTGGGAGTTTGATTTCTGGAGACACTGAACCCTTCCAGTCACCTCACAGCGTTTTTTGAGGCTGAAAATGCAAAAATTCACAAAATTCATCCAAAGTATTTTAGTTTTGGGTTCTAAATTACAAATAAGTGAAGAAACTCTGAGACGATGTCGCAGCATGTTTCCTAAATTCTACCTGAACTGACCCGGCAGCAAAACTGCTGTAGCTTTCTATCAGAACATTTTGGACTCGGGACACTTTTACTGCACCAGACGTCTGTGGTTCGTCTCTCTGGGTCTCTGAGGCGTCTCACCTGTGCAGAAAAGCTCTGTAGGCGTCAGAAACCACCTTCTTCTGAGCCTGTCGGATGAAGTCTCGCTGCTCTTTGTCCGGTATCGCCCAGCCTTTCTGGATCTTACAGAGCTCCTCTAGACCGTCATTGAAACCCTGAAAGAGACAAACGACGGGTCAGAACTCCGTCACGTTCAGACTGTGGCCGTTCTGACCTGAACTCTGGCCTCACCTTGAATTTGTCTTTGATCACTTGTCGCTCTTTGTCTTTCAGCTGCAGGGAAACAAAACAGAAGATTCACTGTGAGAACATGAAACGGACCCACAAGCTGAACTACAGAAGTCTGTGGAGGAGAAAAGGCTGCTGAGCACTTTGCAACTATTCTCCTTTAATTAGATTAAACTGTGGCCTTCATCCCAGTTAAAAACAAACGTTCCAACAATGTTAACAGAACGCTTAGATTTGATAACCAGTTGAACCTCATTTGCTGATCAGGTGTACACAACTTTCAGGAGGAGCTTTGGGCCACCGATTGACTGGTTGACCATTTAAATGCCATTTTGAGTTGTTTGTCGTTGGCTAATTAATTAACGAGGCTGGTAAATGAGAAAGCCTTGTCAGTGCAAAGACCTGAGAGACAAGACTTTACACTTCAATTCCAGTCTTTCAAAGTGCACCATGATTAATTTACTACTCTTAGTAACATTTACAAAGCTAAGAGCTTCAGTGAAAACTTCTCCTTTCGGTTCTTGAAGACGTTTCACTCGTCGTCCACTTGTCAGGTCCTTATAACGCAATCATGAGATCTCTCACTAGAAAGGTTCCCAGTCATTAACATCCCAAGACATGCTGAGTTTGGGTTGACAATCTACATCTGGGACTCTAACTCTAATCAGAACTGAAACCTCTTGGACGAAGGTGAAACATCTTCAGGAACCAAAAGAGAAAAGTCCAGTTGCCTTCTACCGATGCTGTATGACCAAGAATCCACACAGACAACATTTACTGTCTGAATCTTTACACTGATTCTGGAAACAGTGACACAGGAAGCCTTTAACCAGCTAAACTAGCTCACAGGGTCCAGAAAGTATTGGTCAGGTTTCCTCGTCGTCCACTGAAGAGGCTCTAAAACGTACATCGAGGTTGTCCTTTGTGGGACAGTGAGCAAGTTTACCTGTTAGCCTTCGATAGCATTATGCTTTATTGGTCACAACTTTTGCTAAACAAGTGATCACGTAGTGGATGTACTTTGGTGTTTAGAGCCCTGTCAGCATCCTGTCAGACACCCTTACAAACGTAGGGGTTCATTTCCCCCTCCATGAAGTCATGATGCTGCTGCCACCATGCTTGTAACCGTGTAACCCTCCAGCTTTACCTAATCAGTG